GCGCCTCGGACGGTGAGGCCACGCTACGGCGGGTGCCCGGGGCTGCTGCCAGCACCCACCATGGCTTCGCTGCACGGGAAGGTGAGGGGGCTACACCGTCACCCCGGGCTGGGGGGCAGCTGGGTCTGGAGGGGTTGGATCCACTGCCGCCTCCGGGATGGGTCCATGAAACCCTGCAGCCCAGTTTGATGGTGGAGAGATGCCCCAGTGCGGCTCCTTCGGGCATGGGGGGGTCACCATGCTCGAGTCTGGGTAGAGAATTCACCCATACTAGCCACTGGAGAATCCACAAGGCTTTGCATTTTGCCCTGGTCACCACTGGCCCGGGTCGCCGAGGTCCTTCTCAGCTGGTCAGAGGTTTCTGGCTGTGCTGGAAGGTGGGAGCGGTGGCGAGCCGGGCTGGAGGCCTTCAGCATCTCTCCGTCCCTGTGTCTCTCCACCCTGAGACCCTCATCCCTCCATCTCTGCGTCCCCCCCTTTCCCTCCCTGCATCCCTTGGTCCCTGCATCCTTCCATCCCCGAGTCCCTCCGTCACTCCGTCCCTCCACTTCTACGTCCCTCCATCCCTCTGTCCCTTCATCTGTGTCCCTGAGTCCCTCCATCTCACTGTCCTTGTGTCCTTCAACCCCTCTGACTCCGTTTGTGTCCCTGGGTCCCTCCATCTCTCTGTCCATGCTCATGTCCCTCCATCTCTGCCTGTGTCCCTGAGTCCCTCCATCTCTCTGTCCCTCTGTCTGTCCCTGGGTCCCTCCATCTTGCTGTCCCTGGGTCCCTCCATCCCTCTGTCCATGCTCACGTCCCTCCATCTCTGCCTGTGTCCCCCCGGGTCCCTCCATCCCTCCTCCATCCCTCTGTCCCTCCGTCTGTGTCCCTGAGTCCCTCCATCTCTCTGTCCTTGTGTCCCCCCATCCCTCTGTCCCTGCTCGTGTCCCTCCATCCCTCCTCCATCCCTCTGTCCTCGCATCCCGGTGTCCCTCCTTCCCTGCATCCCTCCATCCCACGGTTCCGCACCGACCCCAGCTGCGGGGCGGCCCGGGGATGCCGGTGCGGGGGACAGGGAGCTCCGCCGGTGTCCTCGGGAGGGACAGTGGCCATCCCAGCAAGGATTTGGACCTCCTCCGATGTCTCCGGGAGGGACCGGGACCTCCTCCAATGTCCCCCCGAGGGACAGGGACCTCCTCCGGTGTCCCCACCCCAGGGATGTTTGTCTCCAGGCGAGCCAGGACCAGGCACCCGGGGCAGGGATGGGCAGAAAGCAGCTGCCAAACCCACCCCGAAGGGGCCACGTTCTGGGGGTCCCCTCTAGAGATGGCCTGGGTGGAGAAGAGCTGCGTGGTTCTTCCTCCCCAGCCAAAAGCCAGGAGAATTTTGATAAAATGGGTGTTTTGTACAAAAAACATCAATGGGAGGAGGCTACAAGTGGAGATTTTCCAGCGGTCTGGAGCTGGCTGTAGCAGAGATCTGCACTTTGCACCCACCATCCACGTTTAAAGGCCGGGATTTCCATCTCCGTAGGGCTGGACTCTGGGCTTGGCTTGTTTGAGGACAAGGGCTGGTCCTTTTGTGCAGCCAGCGGAGGAGAGGACCTAGCCCCACCACTGTGTTAACCCCTTCAGCTCAGCGGTGGGGTGGCCAACATGGACCCCCAGCTCAGCCCGGTGGCGGGGGGAGGACAGGGTCTCCATGCACATCTCCCAGGACCAGTTCACCTACAGCGAGCTGGGCAGTCTGAGCTGGGAGATCCTGCCAGAAGTCCAGCGCCTCTTGGAAAGCAGCAAGGAGAACTTCAGCTAGTACAAACAGATCCGTGAGGAGCCCAACGCGTAAGACCTGCTGCCACCTTCCTCTTCGCTGGCTTGGTCGGTGGGTGGGTGGGGTGGAATCAGCCCGTTCGTATGCAGTGAAGGTAAAACCTCTCCAAGCCGTCCCTTTTGGGTTTGGGGGTGGAAGCTGGTGGCTGCCACCCCTCTGGAGGCATCGGTGTCACAGGCAGTAGGGCTTGCGGTATGGGAGAGGACTTGGCTGATGGAAAGACACGGCTGGAAAGCCTGGAGAAGTCTTACTGAGCAGAAATTAGGTACTGGGGGAGGAAGGATGCTCCTAAGTCCTCCCTTGGCTGTGCCTCCAGCCCCCAACATAAGAAGGACATGGATGTGTTGGAGTGGGGCCAGAGGAGGCCACGAAGATGATCCGAGGGCTGAAGCACCTCTCCTACAAGGACAGGCTGAGGGAGCTGGGGCTGTTCAGCCTGGAGAAGAGAAGGCTCC